AGTGAATAGGAAAAACTGTAAAATCATAACCTTGACCCCCACCCCAGGAGAAAAATGGCATTTTGAATAATCTTCAATATCATTCAAAGCTCTTATTATAGCAGGTATTATTTCCATATAGTTTCCGTTCCACTTTACTGTCTCTCTCAAGATGGGACTTCTTGCTGCTCATGTACAGAATTTCAGCTAAGCCCTTGGGCTGAACCTTGGGACTCCTCAAGATCTCCTCATAGTCTTTCCTTAAATTTTCATTTACTTAATTTTAATTGATAAATGAAAATTCCATGTTTATGAGTACAATTTTTGAAATGTATATACATTGTGAAGTGATTAAATCAAGCTAATGAACATCTATTACCTCACATTCTAATCCAAATTTTTTTGTTTGTTTGTGTGTGTGTGTGTGTGTGTGTGTGTGAGAAAGAGAGAGAGAGAGAGAGAGAGAGAGAGAGAGAGAGAGAAAGAGAGAGAGAACATTTAAAATCTAAATGACACAGAGGGCTCTGGGTACCTGTATCAAACACATCTGAGTATTACAACTCTGGTACCTTTGGCATAGGTTAAGACAGGAAGCCAGAGAACACTATTTCATTTTAAAGAAGTGACCCTCAACTGGAGACAAATGTCTGGTGACATTTTTAGTTGTCACAACTTGGGGAGCAGGGCTGATGCTGGCATCTAGTGGATACAGTCAGGGGAAACTGGTAAACATCAAGAAATATACAGCAGAGCCCCCCACAACAGAGAAATAGCCATCCCAAAATGTCAGTATTGCCAAGGGGGAGAAACTGGTTCAGAAAGAACGGAGTTTTCCTAAGGTCAAATTACTAGCATTGCTTCATATTTTCAGGTGTTAGTGTATCATCCAATGCACAGGATACAGATTTCATTTTTAAGATTCAGAGTGGTACCATTTGCATATCTTGTCTTTTTTAGCTAAATGCATAGTGCTACAACCTGTGCCTTCTCTCCATTCAAAATGTTTGTCTCAACTTTTTTGAATTATATATTTTAAACTTTCTCATGTTTGTATGCAATATTAATTAGTTTACAAACTGATAAGACATTTGAGTTGGAGAAGAGTTTAGAGATCATCTGGCCTAATCCTTTCATTTTACATGTAGAGAACTGACCCTGAGGGGGACTTTTTAGTAAAAGGAGGAGGATTTGGATCCTAAGTCTTCTCATCCATCTTTCCAGTATCATATAATTCAATCATCACTTATGTGAGGAGGAATACAATTCTTTGGGAGATTATTTCTTTCTATAGATAGATTTTTAGCTTCTTTGGCCCTACTGACTTCTCTATGACTATATTCACCAACCATAAACTAGAAAATATTTTGAACCATAGTATATGATGAAACCTTTCTATCCCAACGAGATAAGATCCAACACTAAAATGCCTTTTGGAATTCTGAAACCATCTGGAATTTTTTCTTTTAAGATCACTTAGATAATTCATTTCAGAATATTATTGATAATATTGCTTCAAACAATTCTGTTTTCATCTTTATCTTTTCCCAGTATTAATTGCTTTTAAACTGAGAAAGCGTAATACAATTTTTTCTAGAATAATCTGAGTAAATAATTTTGCTGTATATAATAACTTTGGTTTTCATTTTATTGCCAAAAGAATTACTGGACCAGAGAGCCTAAATAGCCTATTTACAGTTGTGCAGTACATTACTGGTAAAGAAAGAACTAGAGTATTCAGGTTTTTGTTTGGGTTTGGTTTGATTTGGGGTTTTTGTTTTGTCTTACTTTGAAAAATCTTTTCATTAAATCATGCATTAGATGGAATTCCCAGTTTGTTATTCAGACTTCATTGTGGACATTAGCTTCTGAGCTCTGAGACAAATATGAAAAAAAAAATGAGTAATAACAATTGATTTCACTATTTCTCAATACTTCCTATTGAGCTCAGTTCATTGAAATATTTATGATATAATAGTTACAGATCAATTTACCTCTTTATTCCCACCACTCAAATTTGAATTGGTGTCATTTTACAAAGAAGGCTCTGTGGAAATGCATGGAGAGATAAACTTGAATCAAACACTCCAACTCAAGGAAAAATTGAAAACAAGGCCCTGCTCATCAAGGAAAATATCACTAGTTCCCATTTTGATTAAAAATGAGGAAGAGAGACAAGGGAGAGCAGACTAGAACTTTTTGCAATGACTCAGTTGGGATTTATAACAGAAGGAGGAAGTTTTCCAGAAGTTGTGTTTGAAGTATAAAGAAATGTGTTGCTGGCATATGAATACCAGACAGGCTGACAGCACTATTAGAGGTAGAAATGATGTGCAGAATAAATAGCCACTAAATGTAGTGACAACTTTGAGTGACAGATGAAGAATAAAAATGAACAATTTTCCTGATAACATGTCAGGAAACAAATGCCTCTTTCTTTCAGAAGAAAAAAAGACATATATGGTTGCAAATTCAAGTGGCCTCCCATCTGGTGAACTTCTTATACCCTTGCAGAACTATAATTTTGGCCCAGAATGGAGCAATCCTTTTGTAGAAATTGTTACCTCTTCATTTTATTGAAGGTTTACAACAGTTTATTCAGACTGTTTCTGTCCAGTTTTAACAATGTGTTTTATACTAACATTGTCCTGTCTACTGCATAATAAAAAATCCAAGAATAGATTAGGCATTGCTGTTTTCTGTAGGACAAAGGTCATTATAAGTTCAAGATGTACTACCCAGAGCATATTTGCATCAGCTTTTATACCAAAAATGTTTTAGAATTTATCTCCTTAAATAATGATAATATTGCTTCTGTATTAATTTAATTTTGTCAAAAATAAATAGATGATATGAGAAAGATCTTTAAATTATTTAGTACATGTCTGTATCAGATGATCAATAAAATCTTGCCTTTGCCAACACAATGAACTTGACTGCATATTATTTAATCTTTCCAGTAATTTTTGGAGTGGATCAAAAGCAAAAAGGAAAATGACTGGCCTCCTTCTTGGGCTACTTTTATACAGGTCCACTAGGCAATGGAAATTCCATGGTGACAGCCCTTCATTTTGAGGATCCATGTTTCTGGAGATATATTTTCATGAAGGTCCCTTTATACTTAGCAAAAAAAAAAAAAAAAACATTAATTCACTAATGGAAATTACTTAACTTCTCTCCCCTGTCTTGAAAATCTTATATCAAATATCAGACCCACCATTTGGTTTTGGCTAAAAATAGTGGCTGAATAGCACAAAAACCTATGAGCTTCAATCATAGGCGTAAACATATTATGGACTTAATCAGCCCAGTTCTGAGAATTCCCTAGCAAAGCAGAATATAATTCAAATAAATGAGTCTCAAGGGACCCTTTCTATTTTTCAAAAAAATCGATTATAGCCATGTTAACATGTGCTATTGTTTAGGGGATTCTCACTTCTGCCCATAAATTCCAAGAAATAAGTTGAAATTTTGCTTTCACATGCTGTTACATTCCATTATTTCTGCATTGAATTTTCATAATTGTTTCCACTGAGTGAAAAGATCTGAAATTCCACTTTGCCCAAATTTCAGATTTGATCTTTGCATAATGTTAAAAAAAATTATCTTTGACAAACAATAGTCAGGGTGTATTTTTGTCTTACGTTTAGTGTCCAAATTAGAAGTACACAATTCACAAGACAAAGCCTTGGCCAAGAGTTTCCCTCCTGGCCATCAGAACTTCCTCTTGCCTTCTCACCTTCTCACCTCCTCCACTATGGTAATTTCAAGTCCATCGTCCCACCTGTTCCTATATGCTGGGCATTTGGAGTCTGAATTAGCTATATGACATGACAGTTCATCATCTGCCTGACCCTCAAGGATCACTCTTAGCACCTGTACCATGATATCTTTAAAACTAATAATAATCACAGATGTAATTTATTGAGCAATTACCAAGTGCTGAGCACCATGAGAAGTGCTCTATATCCATTATTTCATTTATTTCTCATCACAATCCTGTGAGCTATTGCTATTCCTTGTGACATATGAAGAAACTGAAGTTTAGAAAGATTAAGGGGACATATGATCGGAGTGGCCGTGCTTGGATTCAAACCCAGACCAGCTCATTGTTGTGAGAATTAATCACTCTCCCCATTCCCAAAAGGGGAATCTGAGAAGCACATGGACATTACCTAAGAACTGAGTTGAGTGCCTAATAAACTAGGTTTCTCTCAGATTCTCTTTGTACTGACTAATGAAGAGAGAGGCCTTTAGGGAATATGAGCCAGCAAAGAAGACCTCTGTGGGGCTAGGGGATAGCTCAATGGTAGAGAGTGCTTGGAGCTATCTGCCTAGCCCCACAGAGATGGTCTTTTATTCAGTTTTGTGTTCACTGCAATATTCAGCAAAAAGTCTCAATGAGGAAGGTTCCGTTGAAAATTGTATTTATTGAATTGAACCTCCATAATCATAGAAAGGACCCAGAAAACTCCACTGAGATCTGCCCTGAAGTTCACTCTGGCCTCCTTGCCCACATATAATTAAACTCATTCAAAATAAATTTTATAATTATTCCTTTTTCAATATTTCCTGATTATAGGTTGCATATTGGGAAAATATTTAATTAAAATACTTAACAAATATTCTGTATGCTTAAGTATATTTTATTAGCTTTAGAATAAAAGAAGTGTTGCAAGAGCATTGTTTTCTATATATTCTCTTGAAAACACAAAACTTCAGCTTTATTATTATGGATTAAATTGGCTTTGGAAAAGGGGATAAAGAAAAACAAGGCAGCATTTATATTTGTTGTAAGAAAATTCATTTTGAGTTTTAAGAAATTAAATGTGACTTATAAGCGAAATTTTAGAAGACAATGTATTTGTGAACTGAAACATAGTCCTACCCATAGACATGTAGACTATAAAAATTAGTGCTATAATTTCTGGATATTTAGAACTATAGCACCTTAGGAAATTATTTAATCATAACTCATTAATCATTTGACTCAGACCAATTTTGATTATTAAGATATCATCCTGATCCTTCAGTTCATAAGCGTGATGATTGGGTGTTCACGCTATTGTGTGTGATGTGCCTCCCTCTAAACTTGTTACAACATCAGCACATAACCTGTCTGACATGAAAAAAAAATTTAATCCTATGAAAACACTGATCACAGTTTAAGCATTCTTAAATAAAAATGTAATTATATTTTGAGTGAAATCTTATGCATATTTTAGACTTTCATGTTGGACAATAAAAGCTATTAAGACTTTTTTTATAATTTTAATGCACATAGAGGAATGTTTGTAAAACCTCTACATCCAAAGATAAAATGTACATTAGTTCATTAATATCTATTTTGCATTATGTTATGTGTATGTATGAATACATAACAACAAAGCCCACTATTACGTGCAGTGATAATACACCAATAAGAAATGATCTTTAAAATATTTCTTTTGCATGATACAAAATCATTTAGAAACACCTGCTTTCAAATTTTGAACAATTTTATCTAGTTTAAGTTTTAATGAATAATTATCATTAGCAATAGTAGTCAATGTTTACGGAATGCTTACATTTTGTGCTAGGCACCATTTTAAAAGCACTACACATTTCACAGACAGAATACTGAAATTCAAGAATGCTAGCAATATGCCCCAAATCAAACAGATAAGAAGTAGAAGAGCTATGATTCAAATTCATGTCAGTCTAACTTAATCCAAGTTTCTTTGCTTCAGAGCACTCTGTGCTACCTGCTAACAGTGAACAAGGGGACCATAATTCCAATTTTCATTACATTTTTCTCTAAATAGAGGTTAATAACACTGGTGCCAAAAAATTGTCAATTTCCTAGAACCAACAGACATTCTAAGCCTTACTAGCCTAAGAGTTATATAGTCAATAAATCTATGTCCATGAACACAACAGTTAACATGACCCAAATATAATTCTGCCTGATTTTACTGCTTTTATATAAATAGAAGAGCAAATTACTTCATTATATAAAGACTGTATCATCATAATTTATCTTTGAACTTCCTGAGAGTCAAGGCAACAAAGTAACTATGATAGGAGGCACAGTTTTTGTATGAAGACCTTGAGAAAACCACTTTTTGATACCAAATTCTAAAATAAGTGAATTATGTGACCAAAAACATTGGATATATTAAGAAACACACTAAAAATTGTATCAAATATCAGTTTTACAGAGAAAAGAGAATTGATATTTTTCTCCTACTTTCTGTGTGCCCTGCCTCTCTAAAAGTCAAAAAGGCAGCATAAAAGTATCATTCAGCAGCAGTCATTTTTGCAGCGGTATCACAGGGAATAGCAACAAACGTTCTATTGAAATTAAATTTTAATTTAGCTAAGAATGTACTATATGAATAAGAAATAGAAATATTAGGTCAACTCAATCAGGCTGCAGAATATGTAGTCACTCAGATGTTTTACCTGATGCCTGTTGTCCACTTAGTCTCAGTGTTTCTGTGAGTTCCACAATACCACATAAAATTATACAGACTGCATATTCTATCTTCCCTTTGAGTTAAAAGCCTTACTGGCTATTTATACATCCAAACAAAGCATCCTTTTGCTGCCCTGCAATATTTTCTCCTCATATAGCTGACAATCCTATATATATAGATTAATAGCTACTCTGTCTGCATATCCATTGGTCCTCACCAGTTCCTCCCTGACTGTTAACTCCAGTGACAGGCAGCCATAAAAACAGGCAAAGCCACCTGGTTTGACCTATTGTGTTGAAATCCCTCACCCCCCACCCCCACTTTCAGCAGGTCAGAAGAGGACACTGAAGCCATCCTCATGCATGTTCATACTAAGAAAGCCACCTCTGAGCATTTGCTTTGTGGATGAGGTCACATTAACAGATAGAATAGAAGCAATATTATGAAGACATGTGGTCCTCGTCCTCATTAAGATAGCATGTAAAACACAGAACTAGATATGGTCCCTAATGAGAAAACTTAATTAGACATTTTAAATTCATAGTTATCATCACACATTCAAAAATAATCAGCAGCTGTCTTAGATACAAAGGGAAGGCAGAACACAGAGAATTGCTTACCTAGATCACAAAGGTACTGAGAAGCTTAATGCTTGTAAAGCACCTGGACTGAAGGCACAAAGCATCATCTTCTTATCATGTCACTGTAACAGGTGTTCATGTCGTCCCATCTTCCATTAATTAGACTTAGATATTGTATGTGTTTGATGAATCTGAAATTGGGTGATGTGATTATAAGATCCCTCAATGAGCACTCTGTCCACAAATAAAATTGTCTTTATCCTATAAGAGAAAATATTTCTGTTTGAAAGAATTTATTTTTGTCATCAATGCGTTAGGCTTGTGATGAGCAAAATGTCTTTGAGTGCCAGTGCCTGTCTCAAAGGTGTTTTTTTTTTTTTTTTTTTTTTTTAAAAGAGAACAAAGACTCCATTTGTCCCACGTGATCCCATCTTATCTGTTATCTAGACTGTATTACTAGTTCAGATCCTTTACCGTTGGGTGAGTTGAGTTTAAAGGTAGATAAAATAAAGGTATAGTTACACTATGTAAACTGATCAGGGAAAAAAAAAAATTAACAGGCCATTTACCTACCATGACATTGTACACTGTAACTTGTGTTCATTTTGCTTAGTTCTAGAAATCATGTAATTCACACTTAGCATGAATGTGTAAATTTTTTAATTGCCCATGTAATTATATTGAGGTTCATTTGTGAGCAACAAAGAATTGAAAGTTCTTCATGAAGCTTGTTATCTAAGTCTCAGATTTTGAACTAAGTAGTAAGGTAAAGTTTTTACTGCTGTTCTTTGTTTTTATTTTTATTTTGTTAATAAGGAAAATAAATTCAAAACACCTTGTAACTTTGCAACTTTTCTATCACATTCTTCTATTAAAAAACTGAAAATTTAAGTTAAAAATGCACTATTTACAAATTAGTTTCTCTATAAGAATTATATAGTGTTCAAACTTTTAAATTTATACCTAACATTGGTTAAAGTGTTTCTGTTTAAACATTGAGTATTCAGTAGCAATTGTCTTCCCCATAGCCATAGCCACTCTGATAAGAGTTTAGTAGATGAATTTATCCCTCCCTTCCAACAAAGCAGGTATTGATACAGCCCCACAAATCTCAATAAAGAACTGATGTAAAACCTTAACTTCTATTCTCAAGTATTCATGAAAAGTGGAAGTCAGACCCTTCAGAAAAGCTGATGCATTATCTGTACTGAAAGTAAAAGACAGAGAAACTCATATAGCTCTCTCTTCAACCATCAAAAAAAGAGACAAAAGACTAAAAAGATTGATGTCGTCTATAGCACATTTCATTTTCCTCCAAGTGAAAAACACATGGTAGCTCAAAATGAGAAAAATGTACCCTACCAGAAAGGGAACATGGAGACATGTTTGGAATGTGTATCCTCATAAATTCAATGAGATTTTTCTAAAGCATTAGGCACAAATCTGGAAAACCCAAGTTAATATAATAATTTAAAATATAAATTATATGTAACTTGACATTATGCAAAACAATTTGAGGAAAGATACTTGGACTTTTTAGTACAAGGATGGAATCTTTACCCAAAACTTCTATGTTTTCAATTAGCTGTTATTTGTTAATTCTAATTGTTCTATGTGAGACTGGGGAAGGGAGATGTGGTTATAATATCAAGAAACAAAACTAAGAAAGAAAAGATGTTAAATGTGAAGGAGAAAAGGCTCATTTCACCCAGAACACCTGACCCGTGAAACCTGGGGACTGGTGTTCCTTGTTACTGATCTCTCATTGCTTTCAAAGCACACTGTAATATCTTTCTTATAAAACTTCTTTGGGATTATGGGGTCACCTTTCCCTCTTTCTTCTCAGCCAGCTCAGCTTTCCTATTTACTATAGGTAGGCTCATCACTCATGAAACTCTTCCTCTCTTATAATATTTTTCTTATTTTTATCTTTCTCCCCTACTCAATTTTATTAAAAATCCCTTTACTCACTTCAGTTCCACAGGTGTCAGTCCACTGGTGCCATTGCATTGCTATAGAAGCAAACTTTAAAAATTTACTTGGATTTCAAATCATGGAAATGAGGCTTGTTTCACTTCTGGAAGGATCAATCAGTGCGGCCCTTAGTTGTCATGTTTAAGGAAAAAGCTTTAAAAAGATGACATAACTTTAAAAAGTTAAAGTTTTGGTCTTTTTTAAATGAATAAACTGAGCTTGGACTCACATACCATTTTATGACTTATGAAAACAGACTACTATGATCTGAAAATTTAAGAACGTAATTGAAAAATGACTATTTGGTATTCATTTCAATTTTCTATAATAAACCACCGTTTGTAACTTACTGGAAGTTCTTTTAATCTCATACAGTTTATTGCATTTGGATAGAAAGCAAAACTATTATTTTGTCAAATTAATTAATATTAGTACCATAGATAAAGAACCAATGGTGAAAAAGGAGATAAACTTCAGTATCTCCTGGTATCCTTCTGTTACATTCACCATCAATTATTTCAGTCTTCATTAATTAGTTATATGAGACACAAACATGTGCTCTTCAAGGAGTTGGCCTCATTATAATTAGATAAGTGTGGCTTCATCAGGACCCACTCAGCATATTGTATAACTCACATACAGGACAGCTTGTAATAACTCCACTCTTCATTATAATTTCACTGCATTGTTAAAAAGGAATGTGGCTAATAGGGAATGACAATCAAATAAAGTTATGTTGGTATATAAGACAAATCATTTTTGAATGAAAAAGAAATAAAAAGGATTCTGAAAGTTCAGAATAAAAGAGCATCAATGTTTTTTTTCATTTGATTTAATGGCTTGGTTGTAAATTTAGCTGGACACGAACATAACTTTAAACCTGATGGCAGATGATGTTTATTCAGTTCAGTGGTCACCCAGAGTCCATGTTCTTTTTCTCTTTATATTTATACTCAGGACTTGAGTAAATGAGTATCTCAATTTATCCAAACAGGGTTTGGGTTTTCAAAACACCTTCAGTCTTGCTCCAATTACTATTTAATATTGGAATTATTACACTGTATGTGTTAACTCAGTTAATAGAACAGTCAGCCAATGTTTCTAAATGGTGG